AAGAGTGTAAGAATCTTATAAACCAATATCAAGTCGTGACATTGTATACCTGAAACTAATATAATATTATGTGTCAATTATACCTCAATTAGGAAAAAAAAAAAAATCACCTAACTTTTTTAGGTTCATATTTGGCTGAGGGGCCAATAACGGTATACCTGAAACTAACATAATATTATGTGTCAATTATACCGCAATTAGAAAAAAAAAAAAATCACCTAACTTTTTTAGCTTCATATTTGGCTGAGGGGCCAATAACATATAAAAGAGTCTTGAGATCAAGAAGTTGAACTTCCGCACTAACTTACACTGCTTCGATTGTTCTAAATTCAAAACATTCCAACTTTTATCAGAAAGATAGGGGAGGGAAGAAACACCGGGGGTCAGAGCTCCGGGTTAATCATTAAAGGAGGCTTTCTTGGCGAGGTGCCCTGCAGGTGTGTCCAGCCTGGGGCTGCGCACCTTACTCAGTGCTCTGGGGCGGGCGAGCCGACCGCCTTCTGATGTAAGTGAGCTGCCCAGGCTGGTTTGGAAAGCGTGCATATGGAACCTGAGGGTTTGGTACCCTATTCCTCTAAAGCTACCTATGCAGGTATGTGCCTGGGAAGTCCTCAGGTATCCCAGGAACAGGGTTCCCCAGGAGACGCTGGTCCCCAGGCCTCTGGAAGAGATGAGAAGGGGAAAACACAGGACCTCGGGTCTCTGTGGTTTTGTGAGCACCCTGAGTCACGACCTCTTCAAGAAAACCTGTTATTCATTCGGAAGCAGACAGACCTCTCTACATTCCCCGGGACACAAAAGCCTGTTTGATAATTAACATGTGACTCAGTCTCATTCCTGTGGTGAGTGATCCATCTCAGCAGCGTGGCTCTCCGGCCCTGTGACTGACAGGGCTGGGTGGGGCTCTCCCCCAGGTACAGCTGGGCAAAATCCAGCTGGGTCCTTATGTTCTTAGTCTCTCTCTGCTGCACCTGCCAAGTGGGATGAACAATACCCTCTTTGTATTTAAAGCCCCTGGTTAATAACTATCATTTCAGTGCTTACTCTGTGCCAGGAAATGTCGGGGGCTGCATGTAAGAAGATTTAGTCCTCACCGAAAGCCTGAAAATTATGGCATTTCTTCACTCCTAAGGAGAGTTTCTGTCTACGCTTAACGCATCCAAAACTGAATTTCGTCTTGCACTGGATGCGTATGTGGCTTGTTCTGTTCCGTACAAACGTTAATAAATTGACGCTGCATCTTATAATAAAAAAATCCAGGACGAAGTTTCGTCTTACGAATGGGGAACAACTTAAAAAACACGAAGTAACTTGACCAAGTGCACACAGCTGGAACGTGGCGGGACAGAAGGGTGAACCCAGGACTGTCTGTCCCCAAAGCCTGGGGTTGTCACCACTTTGTCGCCCCAAGCTGCTGCCTCCCCTTCCCAGCCCGCATCTACTACACAGCCGGGACCTGGCAAAGCACCCAGTCTCACCCAGGCGTCAAGCGCCTCCCTGCCCCTTTGTTCACTGACTTGTCAGAATAACCAGGTGAGACACCTTTTGTTCAGTTAATCCGACATGTCTGAGACAGTTAACTCTGAGGCTCCTACAGCTTAAGTTTGGGCCTCGAGGAGCTGAAAATGGACAGCTTGCATTGAGCATTTGTTGGCAATACAATGATGTGAAATATTTTATGTGTAGGGGACACTTCTCCACAGTGCTCACCCCAACCCCAGCACCCCAGCTGTCTAAGTCTACAACCCAACAAGCTGCCCATCTTCACCTCATCCTATGCATTGAATCTGAGGTGGCTGATAACCCTACGTCTGAGCAGACAAGGCTTCTGCCTTTGGCACCCACACTATTAAACATCCAGACAACTCCCAGGTGGCTGAAGAACCCCCATTTTGAGGTGCTTCTGTTGTCTTTATGGGGTTCCCTCTTAGTATTCCCTTAAGAGTATGTCAGAACCTGTAGGTAGAAACCAGTGCCCTTCACTGACTATGCACTGGCGGTGACAACCCACTCACACGCAGAGGAAAACTTAATCAAGACCCACTCACGTGGGTCTTGAAAAATGAGAGCTCAAGATGAAGTTTATGAAACAACCATTAGAACGTCCAACTTCAGCTGTTCCGTCTTTATTCCTTAAAATGTCAAAAAATTCTGCAGTTAAAAGCTTTCCTCCAGGTATCTAGCAGAGTCCTGTATTTTTCTCATCACTTTGGATGTGTTTCCAATGTACATTGCAGAATAATCTGGGGGGAGAATAAATTTGTTGCTATTTCTTAGCATTTTTTTTTTTCCTTTTGTTTACGGTGTTTTTTGATGACCTCGAATTTAAAATATTTGCATCGTGGCATCTCAGTATTTCCTTTGTAGTTTCTTTTAGTGCTTTGAAGCTTGGTCTCTGTCCATCCAAAAATTAGGCATTCACCAATATTTTCTTCTCCTTTTTAATAGTTCAATTTTTTTTAAACGCAAAGGTCAAGATGGATGGTGAAATGCTATGATCTCATTAGCTTTATGTTCCTAAACAGCTGACCGATTCTCCTGGTGGTACTATTTATTAAACAATTCCAAACAGCTCAGGGCCGAGGGAGATGGGATTCTACCTGTCTGGAGGCTCCTTCCAGCCGCCCTGGCCTGCAGGTGGGGAGCGCCTGGGCTGGGGGGGGCACCTGCGCTGGGGGAGCACCTGGGCTGGGGGGAGCACCTAGGCTGGGGAACACAGCTCTCTGCAACACTCCTTCAGAACCAGAGGCAGGTGTACGGGAATTCTTGGTACTACCTGCTCTTTTCTGTAAACCTAAAACTGCTCTAAAAAACAAAGTCTATTAATTTTTCTTTGAAGCTGACATAGCTTAGTTTCCTCAGCGCAGGCATTTAGTGCTCAGCATCTCCACGTCCCGTTTAAGGACAGGGATGGACAGGCGGGTCAGGAGCTGAGGGGCAGAGACTTGGTGCGCTGGCCGCGAGTGTCAATCAAAGGCTCTCCTTTCCCCTCCAAAAAAAGGACCAGGGGTGCACCTCATCGGTGTATTTCAACCAGGTATTTTATTGTTCCGGCAACTGCAAAATATACAAATTTCTGACAGGCATCCCCTGTTTGAAAGCTGGCACAGCTTCATCCCAGGCGATTGATTCAGACAAATAGACAGAACGTAGAGAAGTCGTAAGTCACGCGTAGAAGGCCCGAAACCAACCAACGAACGACAAACCCAATCTGTACAGCTTTCTGCTTTCTGGCTCCCTTATACATATTAAATAAATAAATAGCACATCTGCTATCAAAATAATAAAAAAATAAATTTCAAGTATTACAAACGAAATCATCATTGGTTGTGGTTCAAACAGTTTTTCCGCTCCCCTCAAATAAAGAGTTTCGTCCAAGGTCTCAGGACAGGAAAAGGAGAGGGCTAAGCCTCCCCCTCCCCCCAAATCACGCAAAGTTAAAAATAAATTGGTCCCAGGTATTTCTGCTGGGGCGGTGAGAGCTGACGGGCCAGCAGGAACTCCGCGACCGCAGCTCCGAAACGCCAGTCCAGCGCCTCCTCTGCTCAGGCCACGGCCCCCCTCCCCGCCCTGGCCCTGGCCCTGGTCAGCTCATGTCCCACGGCCTCGTTTACGTCCGCGCCGCCGTCAGGCTTTCAGAGGCGAGGGGATCGCGTCTTCACACAGCCCCGCTCGGCTCGGCCGTAAGAGGCGAACATCAGAGTCGGCTCTGACAACCAGAAACCCAAGTGGGCCAGAAAAGGGGACACAAGCAAGCCATTCTCAAGAGCGGCCCCTCTGTCCAAAAATACAACCAACCTACACACACACACTGTCCACTAGACCCCATAGCGCAGGAAGAGGTAAAAATAACCCAAGTCTTCAGTCCCGCAGGAATGGACACTCAGACATCCTCTTGGGCAGACCACCAGGTGTGAGGGGGCAGGGGTTCAATGGTTTGGTGTGAAAACCTCGAATTTGATTGTCCGGTCTCTGAAGGGTGTCGTCCCGTTTCCCATGTAATCCCAGAGAAATGTGCGTTCCCTAAAAACTCCTCTCAAACACAATAAGGGCAGGAACAGAAGCTCATCTCTCCGCGGGGAGCGCCAGGTGTCTCGGCTCGCCCCTCCCCACCCCCACTATTTCATGGGCTGAGGGGGGTAAGGGTGTCAGGCTCAAAAGCAGAGGGCAGGAAAGGGAGGTGACCTTTGCCACCAGCTTTGAGGGCCCTTCAAAGCGTCGTTTGGACAAACTTCACTCTGAGTTTCCAAATCGATTCTTCTGGGCCTCGGGACACCACCCTTCCTCCCTTGGGACACCCCACCCTTTCTCCCTCAGGACTTGGAGCAACGAGGAGAAATCAGCAGGTAGAAACTACAGGTATTCAGAACCACATGTCCCAAAAGACCCGCTTTGAACGCCACCCCCCCCCAAAAAAGATGTCACAAGTGCAGAGGCAGGGAGGACACTGCCCCAGGAAGCCAGCCCCGTGCTCAGCTGACAGCGACGCTTGACGAAAACAGGCCGAATTGGGCTGAGTCCCGCCGGGAGACCACGGAGTAAGTGGCCCTGAGGGAGGCGACGAAGGTGCTGGTGGCAGCTGGCCGGAGCCTTGCTCTCCACGCGGTCTCTGGGTCAGCCTTGCAGTGATCTGAGCGCTGGCTCCCCGGCCGGTTTACTGGGGTCCCTCCGCGATCCCCATCTCATAGGCATGCTCGACGCCCCACATTCCTTCAGAGCCACGGCCGCGAGACCCAAACCTCTAAGTTGCTGAAGAGGAGGTGCGACTTTCAGGTCGCACGTTCTGCCACGAGGGGTGCGGAAGCCAGCAGCGCTGGGACCCCGGCCGGAGCCGGAGGGACCTAAGGGCCCCCGGGAGGCCGA